GCGAAAATATATACGTGCCGTTAATGATCAAAGAAAAGTAAGCAACTGGCCCTCAACATCTACCCCAATATACATCTTCTTCTGTGTTATATCTGTACTGATACGAGCACCAATAGTAGTTATAAATTCCTGTACCAGCATTCGTACACTTGTAGTTGTCTGTTCCGTATTGAAATGGGATGTGGCAACATTTATTAGTCGTGGTCTTGAGCTCGCAATCTGTGAATCGAAAAAAAATTGTTTAGATTGTGCTAACATTTATGACTTATATAATGGTCGACATTGACGTATTTTATCCTTAAATTTGTGATGTTGGCAAAAGGAAACACTTAGATGATWGATATCAAAGCTAAAGATAAGTTCTAGGTTTAGGGTCTAGAAGAGATTAGAAGATGTACATCACTAAAACATCAAATCCTTGAGTTTTAATTTTATTCTTTCATTCATAACTTGTTATTCAAGACGAAAAAATACGATGACTTCCAACAAGATAAAGGAAAGCAATATAAGTATTTTTATGCTAAAAAGAAAGCAATTTAGACTGTTTTTATCGTGTGTTGATGATGACAGCCAAAGCACTAATGGCTTTTAGAGAGGAAGACAAGCAATGCCAGTGCAAATGGTGCTTTTGGAAAAGACGTAGATGCTTTTTAATGTTGATGATGGCAGTGAAAAAAATGACAGCTTTCCAGWGGAAAAAAATTGAGAATGTAGCTGTGACGTTTCGTTCGCGAAAAAGATCAAATATGGAGGGAAAGACGATGATATGGAGAAGATGGTTGAACAACTTGAAGTTCCAAGACACGCAGAAACAGAAGTACACGTACTTCTGGCAGAAATCGTGTTGGCTTTTCCTTGACAAGGAAAAATTGTCAATTTTACCCCATTTACACGAGCAATTTTTCCTTGTCAAGGAAAACCTATCAAGGAAAAATTGCTCGTGTAAACGGCCCTTAACGATGGAAGTATATACAATAAAGTCATTTGTTCTGGCCAGAGCTTTCTTTGCCTGGTAAAGCCATGTCACATGGTACTTTTCGATGAAAAATAAAGGCATCAAACTTGGTGATGGATTTAAGGTGAYCATTAAAGACTRCTGCACACGATAATCAAGTGCGATAGAGAAATATAGTCGCTTTGATCAGCCAACTGTTCGCTGTGTTCGAACCATTTTTGCTGTTCTGGATGTGACTTTGTCTTGTCGTATGGATTTCTTTTGCCCCTCGTTATCAAATTTGCAAAGTGGGCGGAGGTTGTGAAAAACCTAGCAGTCTAGAGTTTAACAAATGACTCAAGGCAATATGGGACTGCAACAACGAAAAGTCCTCGCGAGATTCATAGGCTGGTCTTGTTGTCAAGAAGATCAGAATGGAGAAGAAATTGACGATAGTGAAGGAGGTACAATAATATATGATAAAATTTTTCAATTAATTCAATTACTTTTATTTCTTGCTTGCAATTGAAAATGTCGATATATTAATTCATTCATTTAAAATGTACTTACCATAGTTTGGAGGTCTGAGCATCATCTGGACCGACTTCATATTCTCGAGTGTCTTTTTCCATGATTTCCAAATAATTCCTGTTGGGTTTAAAGCATTGCTGCCGGTGTAGATACCATTTGGACTCGCTCCATCTTCAATACAGTCTTTATACCAAAATCCACCTTTGTGAGTTGAAGCGCAGTTGGAGATTAAATTGTCGTCGTTGTCACTATCCGAGGTACTAAACTTCATTCCATTGTGAGCTGACATGGCATTTCCATCCGTGCCTGCATACAATCCCTTGATGGTCAAAAGGTATTTGCTCGCTTCGTCACCGACTTTGAATATAGTGTGTTCCGAGTAGACTACCTTGTCTGAGAAATCTGTCACATTAATTCGAAGAGTTGTATGAAAGCTGTTGGTTAATCTATAGATATTATCGTTTCCCAGCCAGAAATTCCCAGCTAAATTCCCAAAGCCTTTCTTGTAGTCGCTCCAAAGTCTTGTAAAGGTGGTGGCATTGCTAATCCTTCTCTGAATGACTRTCCACCCACCACCTTTGGTTGTCATGTCACAGTACACTGTGAATGCAGGTTTGCTGGTATCTGGCTGGATAATGTATTTTCCACTCTGCAGGGCTGGATTAGCAGTTTTGTATTTGGAACAATCTCGGAAAGCTGCAATGATAGCCAATCTATTACTATCGTTATCAAAGAAATTATGATGTTTTCATCATCCATCATCATCATTTGTATTTATTACATCATTTATTAACCCCCTATTGACTCACAAGTGGCAGAGCCAGATCGTACGAATGGGGTATGGCTAACTGCTCCCAGTCTGACCTTGTAGCTCACCTGGTAGAGCATCGGTAGTACAAACCCGTGCGTTCGAATCCCAGCGGAAAATTATTTTTTTTTTTCCGAATTTATTTCCAAGGGTCTTGTGGCCCGGCATAATCTCCTTCTAAGCACTATAGCTATCTATTGTTTCTATATCCTGTATTTCCAGTACCGCGCGGCACATATATTAATGTAATAGTCTCCTTTACGGTTACCTGCGCCATCTTGAAGCTAGACAACCGTTGAGCGTTCAATGATAGATACCTGTGAATAATTGTCTGTAGGTGTGAAAGAAGATTTCTATCATTGCACCCTCAACGGTCGTCTTGATTCGATGCAAATGCACGGCTACCTTTCAAGATGGCGCAGGTAACCGTGAAGGAGAGGYTATTGCCATGCGATTAAGCATTCCAGTAAATGATGGAAAATAGACCGAAAAAATCAGTGTACAGTCACCAATATTATTGATATGATCTAGGAATCATCTTCATCGAATAAAATTGGCATGGTTATGACCGTCTTGATACGAATCGACTCTTACCTATATTACACGTTGACCCCAAGTACCCAAATGCGCATGAGCAGCTGAAGGTGCCGTCTGATGCTGGTGTACARCTTCCTTGATTGAGGCATGGATGGCTTGAGCATGGGTTTTCTGCGACTGTGAAAGACAGAAATTTCAATGAATTTAGCATTTTTTTAAAGACGTTCCACCTTTATAAAGGTCTTTATTGAATTCATATGACAAATGACATATCAAATTCACAAAGTGTAAGTAAAAGAAGCATATAAACATATAAACAGTGACAACATAAGATAAAATTCAATTTGGAAAAAATCAAAAATACTAGTAATATTTAAGAAGCCTATTTCTGAARGCAGACTGGTATCTCGACGTATTAACTTTTATTCTAGCTAAGGGTGTTTTCCTTAGATTGTATTTGGTTTCCTTTTTCCACTGGAAAAAATCGCGCGCTTTAAAGGTTGTAAATGATGTATATATGATGTAAGTTTCCAAAATGATGTAAATTTGATGTAAATCATTTCCATCAAATTTACATCATTTTGGACACTTACATCATATTTCCATCAAATTTACAGCCTTTATGGCACGCGGTTTTTTCCAGTGTTCGTTGGTATAAGACATTTGATATCAGAGTTTAAGGCTGTTGCACAGGACCGTTCCATTACGAATTTATCTCCGTTTAATTCACGACTTTCCATACGCAGGTTCAGTGACTACGAACAAAGCATAGAACCGAGGCGTCAAGGTACACTAATCACAAATCTTTTCTTTTATGTTCATTGTACCTTGACGCCTCGATTTCAATGCTTTGTTCATGGTCACTGAACCTGAGTATGGAAAGTCGTGAATGGTTTGTTTGCTGGTTTTTCTATTTCATTGTAAAGACTTTCTTTGTTAACTTCAGTGCATTTCGATCGTGCAATCTCTAAACAAGACCTCTTCTATGCTATATCTATGCTATGTACATACCGCTTGTAGCGGTAGTGGGAGGCACWGTATGAATTACAGAAGCCATTTGGGTGGTCTCACTGGCTGCATTCCCTGTAGTAGCTTGACTGCTTGACGTTGTCCTAGTAGACGTCGATGTACTAGTACTTGTAATTCTGTTAGTRGATTGTGAAGAAGTCGTTTGATGGGTAGTTGTTGTAGTAGTAGTAGTTGTTGTTGTTGTAGTAGTAGATGGTGCAATATTAGCTGAKGCGCTGGTAGYAGTTGATGTAGGTGTAAGAATAGTTGATGTTKTACKTTGTTGTACGTTGTTGTTAGTTGTTGRTGTAGTAGTCTGAAGGTCAGTGGTTGATGATTGCGTACTTGTCCCATGACCGCTGGTAACCRATGYTGTACTTYGAATGATGGTTGTAGGCGATGATGTACTAGTTTCAATACTGGCGGCTGTTGATGATGAAGTAAGGCTTGTTGTGGATGAAGAACCTAATGAAATGCGGAGAGAATTACTTGTACATGTTATGAACTATTTTACGTCGCATTTTTACAACTAACAGATACTCTTACTCTTAGAAATCCTTTCTGTTGTCAGTCCAGAAAAAAAAAACTAAACCAAACCAAACCACAACACAACACAACACAAATACTGACAGCTCGCTGGACTATAACGTGTCGTTGGCTAATTTTGAGATTATCTTTCTGTGTAGCAATAGAGGCATCGTATCGGGGAATTCTTCCCCAAAAACTGTACTTGATTAACGGTCGTATATGTTCTTACCTTGGTTGCACAGGGAGCCCGTGAAGTTGGCATGACACTCACACAAGTGTGTGTTGTCAATGAAGTTGTGTCGACAAATCTGATATTTTGAACATGTGCAGGTGTTCTGTGAGAAGAAGAAAAAACAGCTGTTAGGCAGAATTCAAGCAAAACAATATACGATTTTTTCGGTCATTCTTATAGAGTTGCTATGGCAATAATGGGTCTCCTATAGTGACGTCATGTATGTTTGCGCCAAGTGCGTCATGTCATTACCGAAAATAAGGTGATGGCGTGAGTTATATATATATATATATAATTGCCTTATTTGGCTATGGTTTCACAGCATGCTTACAATGACGGAAGTCTATTAAATACAAATGAAAATTTAGACAAACAAGTCTTTCCCTTCAAATGTTTGGCCTTCAAAATTGTCTATTTAGTAAGACAATTATTAAAAATATGCGTCTCTAGTATTTTCTATTTTTCTCCTCTGTGCATCAAATGTAGTTTCATCGCATTTTTCTTTCTCTTGTTGCTTTGTCAACATGTTGCGAAAGTGACTATTTTGCTATGACGTCAAAGCGAAATAGGACTGACAATTACATTGAATACAGTAGACAATGCTTCAATTTTGCACGAAAATAACTTTCTCCTATTTACACCTACCTCCGCTGCTCTATAAATAGAACCCGGCCTGGTTACCAAGTACTCCCGATGGATCACGTGATTAGACTCACTGAGCTCACAGGTGAGTCCATTCGGTAAGTAGTTATATGACAAACAACGATTACTCGTGTCCATGTAACACTGGTTCCTACAAAGCTTTTCATCTGATGTTATGATGGTCTTGAAAACAAACCCCAAGAGGGCCTGACCTTGCAAAGTGAGCTCGTCGGGGAAAATCATTGTTTTGCACCCATCTGACGAGAAAGAAAAGTTCAAAATTTCAGTCTAAAAATTATGTCAGCCAGAAACACAATTGAAATGACTATTTGTTAGTTTGGTTTTATTTTCTGCGTTTTTTTATTCATTTTGTTTTACTCTATATACTTTTTTTCCTCTTCCTTGAGATTTTTTGGACTTCCCAAAGAATTTTAGATGAATTAGTGATGGTATTATTATCTTTGAATTTTTTGTAAAATTAAACTTAAATCTATAGTTCTGTTTTTCTTAAACATCTGCTTTCCTTTACAAAGAAAAGTTTTTACTTTTATTATAAGAGAAATGATGTCATACTGATTGTGTCTTTTAATTTTGCGTTGTTTAACTTTACGTTTTCGTGTCATTTTCTTGTCTACATCTTTGACTAACAGTCTAATTTATCTCATATCTTTTTCTAATATCGACATTTTTGCTTTCATTC